CCCCCCCCCCCCTCGCCGCCACATAGTGGCCGTTTCTCCGGGTGCACACGAGCGGCCAGGCAGCCGAGACTCAGGACGGGAGGGGGCGGGGGTGCACCAGGGTGGAGATATGGTGTGCGCAGTGGCTGCAAAAGAATGGGGGCGAAAGGCGCACGCACGCGCGCACGCTCCTCCTCGCCCTCTCTCTCTCTCTCTTCCTCCGTCCCACTCTTCACAGGTGTGCGCCCCTCTCTGCGCCAGTCTCCCTCCGCGTCCACCCATCCTCCGTTCCGCTCCTCTCCTTCTCGCGTCATGTGTTTGCCGCCATGTGTGTGTGTGTGCCGACACGCCTTCCCCCTCCCCCTCTTCCCCCCCCCCCGCTTCTCCCTCCTGTCTCCTTCTCCCCTGCCGCTGCCTCCTGCGCCCCGAGAGCCACAAGTGGTGATGCCTCGGCTTGCGCGCGCGCGCGCGCATCCATGCCCGCCCGCCTGCATCGGTCCCTCCTGGGGGCCAGGCTGCGCTGGCACCGGCGGCGGCAGGCCCGCAGGGCAGCGAGGCGAGCATATCCGGCGGCTGGCATGCTGGACAGCCTCCCCTTTTCTCTTCTCCTCCACCCTCGCCCAGGGCAACCGCGGGCCGGAGGCGCAGAAGCGGAGGCGAGGTTTTGGGGCCCGGAGCGACAAGCGAGAGCGCGCGACACCTGGGGAGGAACGGGGGCGGGGGAGGTCCGCCTGAAGCCGCGCGCCGCCCCTGTGCACGCACACAGCGAGATGGCGGGGACGAGGGAGAGGCCCGAAGAGAGGGGCGGCTCGTTCCTCCTCTCCCCTCTTTGTACTTGTTTCCTCCACTCTCCGGGGCACCGGGGTCTCCCCGCGCCCATTTTTCTCTCTCCCTCTCTCTTCCTCTCTCTCTTTCTCTCCCCACCCCCTACCTCAAAAATACATTTCCTATACAGTATGTCGCCCTCTGGGGGCTTCCCGTGTGCCCATCATCTCGGCTCCCTTCGTCCAGCGCGCGCAATGGCAGGGAGGGAGGGGGGGGGGGGAGGGCTACACCCACGCAAACACAAATGCAGGGGTGACGGATTTCGGTTTGTGTATTCTCTCTCGCGCAGCGAGCTGACACCGGGCGCGCGCAGCAACACCCAGCCCTCGCTGCTGCTGAGGCAATAAAAGGGAACAAGGAAGACATGTGCGCATTTTGGGGGGAGAGGAAGTGGGGGCAGGAGGGCGGCCGGCTGGCCGGCATGCATGTACACCGGGCGGCGCCGGGCGGGACGCACGGAGGGAGGGACAGACAAGAGAAAGCCGGAGGGAGTCGAGAGCAAACTCCGTGTTTGTCCTCCACCTAGGGGGAGGGGCTCGGGG